TTTGATTGTTAGCCGCCCTGAGTCTCTCGGGAATAGGGCGGCATACAAACCGAATCAATCAATCAATCAAATCAATCAGAAGAGGGCCGAGCATTTGTTCCACTGATTTCACGCTTTAGGAAATTCCACATTCCGTGACTCTCCATCTGGGGGGACCCAAAAGCGATTAATCCCACATGGGGCAGAGAGGGGCAGATTTTGGACTGGGTCCCTCAAACAAGGCTTGATGAGATTGGAGGCTCAGATCATGCTTAAATCTGAAAGCAGCTGCTCGCAGGCCTGAGGAATGTGGGTCTTTCTCATTCTGTAAGGTTGCTATGTGGCATCAGGAAGTTTGGGTGCGTCATTTAGGGTTTGTCATATGGCTGAGGGGTTTAAGGGTCAGCTTCCGAGGTTCTGCTTGGGTTTTGCCTTCACTGCTCCTGACGTAGAAGGACATGTCCCTCCTGGGGGCTCAGCCAGGAGATGGCCAGGTCCTCCTCCAGCTGCCACTCTTGAGGGAAATCCAGATCTCCTCCCTTGGTCTTCAGTTGAGCAGGAGCCGCTCTTGGGACTTGGGAAGCAGCGGGCCAGTCCCGGGAACTGGCTCCCCCGGGGAGATGCCCTCTGGAAAGCCTCTGAAGGTCTGCCTCGTGGGGGAGGGACAACGCCTGTGCCCCCCCCCAAGGAGGCTTCCTTTCTTGGGTAGGGCTCACCTGCTGTTGCTGTTTCTTGCTTTCTGAAACTCTGGGTGGGGCCCCCTCTAAATCAATCAAAACATGGATTCTCTCTGCGGAGAGCCTGGGTAGGGCTGCGGGGGGGGGGGCTGGATGGAGTCCAGTTTGAGTAATTTGCTGGCTGCTAATTCCATACAGTCCAGATATACTACCTAATTAAATCAACGACCAGATTTAGCAATAATGATTGAATTATCCCTTCCAAATTAGATATATCAAAGCAATCGTCAGGATGCCTCAGTGTATCTTTTTCCCCCCAACAATGATAAAAAAGCAACAAATCGTAGCAGTGCCGATCAGGCAGGAATTTTCAAATTTGGGGAGGTCAGGAACCAGCCATGCTTCAAGCAGGACTCAGCTTCCTTATCCTCTTGAATCACACACCCATCAAGAATAAAATAAGATTTATTCAGTCAATGACCACTGAAACTTAAAAGAAGTGAGGCAAATAGATAGACTAATATACTAATAACTAGCAAAATAAATCACATAGTAATATAGTGTTTGCCCATTTTTAATCCCAGAGCAGGCATTGAACAACACTTAACCTGCATTAAGTTCTCCCATACACCCTGTGACTTATTTTCTCAGGCTTTCAGTCGCCCGTCTGGGCTTTTCCATCCTTGGTTGCAAGAGCTGATGGCCTCTCCCTCCGTGTTCTGCTTAGATTCTGCAACCCAGGCAACGTTGCATCCCCATCTTAGCCAGATGTGGGGTGATTTGAGTGTGTGTGTGTTTGTGTGTGTGTGTTCCTGCAGATGAAGCTTTGCAGACATGCTCTTCACATGCGGAACAGAATGGCTGAGAGTCTGAGGCAAACCAGGGGGTTGAAGTCTTCAAAGGACAAGAGTATTTCATCAAAGAGGAAAACGTGCCCATTTGTTTTTGAAATGATGCCCTTCATGAGGGGGTTCCCTGCATCTGTTTCTATTCATGTGCATGAAATGAATGCAGTCCAAGTTCCCCTTCACAACTAACCCTAACTTCCCCTCTCCCCTTCAGCCTTGCTGGCCTCCATCCTGTCTTCTGGAGCGCTTGGCAGCCCCCTTTAAATGCCTCGCTCCCCCCATTTACTCTGCCCCCTCCACAACTCCCAGAGAGCTGCAGAGGGTGATGTGCCTGGCAGCCAAAGGTTTGCCTTTGTGGGGCCCAGTGGAAAAGCAACACGTGGCTTGGATAGGATGACAAGAAGAGCGCCAGCCTTGGAGGGTCATTGCAACTGGCAGGTCCTTGAGACTCCCCCCCCCCAATCACTGCTGTGGAGGTGGGGAAGCAGAGACTGCTGGTATTTAACCACCTGCCTGTCAGATGAATTGAATGGATAGGTCTCCTGCATTGGATTCTATGATTGGTAGCAGAGGATTCCTCGCTCCATCTGGAATCTCATTGATTTATTCCATACATCCTTCAGTTTGTGATGGCCTGTGGTTTTAAGCAAATAATCATTTATAATTTAATCCATCTTCCTGTTGGAAACTTGGCAAAATACCCTGTTTTGGAACTCAGGCATGAGGGCAGATAATTCTAAGTGGGATTTATCTAGAGTTGTCCAAAGTCAGAACTTGACCCATTTTTTTGTAATAATCCAGGGTTTTTTGGGTGGGTGATGTTGAATTTCCTGTGCTACTACCTCACACAAACCAGACTCCCTTGTAACCCCAAAAATGCCTTCTGGGGGCTCCCAACGCCACTTGGAGGTAGCCTTGGTGGCATTCAAGAAGGGGATTTCATTCGCATTCCCACCACCAATTTCGGTGGAAGATCAATTCCTTTGGACACCTCCAAGGGAGGCGCAAAGATTGCCAGGCAGTGAGTGGGCAACCTCCGTTGTCTGTTTTCATATATTGTGCATTTGTGGATCCTCCTGGTGAGCTGGTCTATACAGTGGGGTAAAGGTGGCATTTGTGGTTATTTATTAGGCCTTGCACTGCCTCCCAGTCCCAGCTGGGGCTTTAAATGGGTGGCAGCCAGGTGCCCCTTCCTCGCTTGGCTCCATGGGGCTTTTCTCCCCAGGTTTGCCCCCACAAAGACACTCTAGATTTATATGTATCTGTATGAAACACACATGCACCTATGCTTACATTCAGCTTATATAAAAATAATGACTAGAACTTAAATTCCACATCAATCAAGCTAATAAACATTCTATCCACCTTGGCCTAAAACCAACCCAGGTTCTCAAAGTCTTTTGCATCTCAGCTTAGAGACTTGCAAACCAGCCGCTTTGGCTCTTTCTTTGGCAAAACGCCCCAGCCCTCCTTCTTCTCCCCTGCCAGGAGCTATTCCTCCAGTGGAATAGGGAAGGCCCAGCCCGTAGGACGGCTGGTTACTGGGTCCATATTCTGATAAATTTGCTGAATGTCACTTTCACTCCTCCAGGTGGGTGGCCGCTGCGGTGGCAAATTCCAGAGTTTTTTTTAAAAAAACTTTGGAAATTGTTGGAAGGAAAATTAGGTCAGTTTTGAGCTGCATTTGAACGAAGGCAGATAGTTACTTGAAGCAGAGGAGACGTTTGTTTCCCAGAGCATCAGCTGAATGGAGGTGGCCACCCTCCAAGCTCTCTCCATCTCTAGAGACTCCTTGCCTTGGTTGCCAAAAGCTGCCTTTAAGCATCCTAAGAAGATGCATTCAATTACGGAAAGGACTCTGCGGTTCAATTACCCTGCAGAGTTGGGGTTGAGCAAGGAGTTTGCACGCTTTCAAACTGCTAGGTTGGCAGGAGCTGCTGGGGTGAGAACGAGAGCTCCCTCTGTTGCATGGAGCCTGGGTCTTGAACCTGGGCTGCCAACAGTCCAGCCAAGAAGTCCGGCCTCTTCTTAACCACTGGCTGCAAGATTTTTATATGCGAAAAAACATTTCTATTCTCTATTTCTTTCTCTGTATTTTTCATTTCTTTTTTACTTTTCACTTTCAAAAAGTAGATTGGTTTTTTTAAATAAAAAAGACATGAGGAACAAGGAAAGAGAAATGGGCAGAAAAAGGACTCCCAAGTCGAGCTCTGGTGGAGTCTTGGGCTCAATCTAACCTTGACCATTGCAAAGCTCCCTGCAGTTAGGGCAGAAGGCTGGACGACAGAGCAAAAGCCCCTGAGAGGTCCAGGAGGACAGTCGCTTGTATCTTGGGATGACTTGGTCATCCGCTTCCACTCTGAAACTGTCAGTTGAGCCGCTTTTTCCAAAAAGGGAAGCTTGGAGATGACAAAAATGATGGAAGGAGGGGCTTCTTGAGTGGGGCCACACATTAGTTCCTTTGAGGCAGGCAAAACCATCTGGTCACTCAAAAAATGAATTCAACACCATTTGGGCTCAACCCTCAGCTGGGAGGTCTTAACTACCTGGGAAGGATGTAAATCTAAAGGCAGGTAGACAGATTAATAGCTCCAGGGATCCGGTCCACTTTCCTAGGAGTTATAAGGTCAGACATTCTCCCCAGATAACAGAATGTTTCAAGTGTCTTTTCTGATGTTTCATTTCCTGGAGCTCCTCAGAAAAAAGGAAGGAGCCCTTGAGATCTCAGTTCCCCCTTCCAGGTGGAAAGAAGGAAATCAGGTTTTAAGTGTAATGAAGCAGGTAGGGATTTTCCAAGACCCCAACTTCTTCCCAAACAGGCGGATGCTGTCACTGCCCCCTTTTGGGCCATTCTCACGGGCTCTTCTTCTGTAAACAGGTCAAGACTGGCAGATTTCCACACCAATTGCCAAGCCTTCCTCGCCAGCTGCTCCAGGGACAGCTACCGGGCGTGCCTGGACTCCTACACTGGCCTGATAGGTGAGTCACACAGTCCAGGAGAGGGTCAAGTAAGGACGTTGCTCCTGTGCCCATCCTTGGATCCAGCCAGTCTGGACCATTGGCATCCCATCACCAATCTCCCCCTTGAAGGGAAGGTTTCTGAGAAGACAGTCAGCCTCCAGCTTCAGGGGGGCCTGGAGCAGCCGGAGTCCGACTGAGACACAATTCTGAAGCACCTCTGGTTTCGCTTATCAGAGAGTCCATCCTGGCCCTCCGGTCTCTTGGAGGCCTTCAGAGCCATCCCTTCTGGGATCCTTGGGCCATTGTGGAGGACTGGGAGTGGGAGCGCTGTTTGCAGTGGTTCTCCTCCCTCTGAGGCTACTTCCATTGGGGGTCCGGTGTCCCCTCTGTGATGGAGGAGTCTAGAACAAAGCAAGGGACTCTTTCTTCTCCCCATCACTGGCCAGCGTCTCTCAGAACCCCCCACTTTTTTGTCTTCTCTTGCTGGCTGAGTCATCCAAGGCCTCTCGGGTGCAGAAGGTCCGAGTGGGGCTCAGCCGCTCTTAACTTTCTGCAGATATTTCCTGATTCACTTCCGTGATAAACATGTCCAGCTTAAATGTCCTGCCTGAGTCCCTTTTATTTTCCCTTCCTTCTCCTTTTTCTCTTCACTGCAGTCTTTCACCAGCACAGAAAGATATAAACAGAGAATGAAGAACCAGCAATACTGGCGTATGAATTAAGAGCTAGGCATTAAAATAAATTACGTGAACATTGGAATCATATATAATGTCTGCTATAATCCCGCCTACCTCGGCAAAATAAGATTTTTGTTCCACACTAAAAATAAAGATGTTAGTAATATAAATGTGTGGGTGCAGCCTTTAGCCACTTATTATTTAAAGTAAGAAGGAGCAGGAGAAGAATAGGAATGATAAAACTGCTTATTGCTTATCTTTCATTAAATATTTTAACTAAAAGTGAATTTAGCAGCCACAGGTTATTTTGGAATTTTCAGTAGAGATTCCAAAGCTTGGGGTTCACCTGAGTGGCAATGAAGAGAGGAGGCGAAATGGCAAAAGGGGGGGGGGCAGAGACTTGGGGGAGGGGATGAGTTGGGTGCAGAGCGCCTCCCTGTGCAGGGGATCCTCTTGGGCGCCCTGGAGACCCTCATTCCTCCTTTGCGACAGGTTTGGACTTGACCCCCAACTACGTGGATGAAAGCTTTAGCAACCCAGTGCTCTCCTTGTGGTGCTCCTGCCAAGGGAGTGGCAACATGGAGGAGGAATGTGAGAAATTCCTGAAGGACTTCACTGAAAACGCTTGTCTCCGTAAGCCTCCTGGGGATTTCGGGGCCCACCCGAAGCAGGGCTTCCTCCGGGCCCTTCTCTGGTGGGAAAGGGGAGGGGGCCTCCGTCCTTTGAGCCATTCCTGGTCTTCCTGTGGGTCAGCCAAGTTTCCTTGGCTTCCGGAGGAATATTCCCTCCCCTCCCGCTGTGTGGGGGTTGCATGCGGGGGTGGCGGAGCAGAGAGAGGAGGAGTCCAGCCTGTTCTTCTGCCTTGATCCCAGTTTTAAGCCCCCTCCCGAGGCTTTCATGAGGGGAGCCAGTTTTATCTCAACCGGCTGCCCTTTCCAGGCTTGGTCTTCATCAAAGCTCTTTCATTTTTTTACTATAAAAACCCTCTCTGCAAACCTAGAATGCAGAACCTAGAATGCTTTGGTGCTGCCTGGTTAAGGCAACGGGCTAGAGATGGTGAGTTCTAATCCCGCCTTGGGCAGAAGCCAGCTGGGGGATCCTGGGCCAGTCACTTCCTCTCAGTCCTGGGAAGGAGGCAACGGCAAAGCCCTGGAGAAAACCTTGCCCAGGAAACTGCACTCATAATCATCACAGAATTACAGAGTTGGAAGGGACCTTGGAGGTCTTCTAGTCCAACCCCCCTCCTCAAGCAGAAGACCCTAGACCATTTCAGACAATTGGCTATCCCATCTTTTATGGAGGACCTCCAGTGATGGAGCACCCACAACTCTGGGAGGCCAACCGTTCTACTCTTAGTTCTTAACCCAGTTCCTCCTGGTTGGGCCTCTGGTTGTCCACTAGGCTTGTCCAGGCAGGCCCTGAGAATCAGACGTGGAGAAAACCAGAGGTTGCCCTAAGCAGAGCCAGGTCCAGGAGGGCCAAAATTCTCAGAGTAAATTGCCTGGGTTTGCACAGCTGATTAACACACACACACACACACACACACACACACGTTTCTCTGTGCCCTAATGAAATCAATGGCATGAAGGAGCCTTTCTGTTGCAAGAAGCAGAGAAGAGGGGGGCAGAGCTGGGATCGCCTTGCCATGAGAGGAAGGGGGGAGAGGGGGTCTCGGAGCCATTAATGCAGCCTTTGCCGGCGGCCGTGATCCTTAGTGAGCATTCCTGTCCCCTCAAAGCAGGCAGGTGCTTGGCTGCATTAGGACCCCTGGGGAGCTCAGTGTGACCCTGCCGGAGTGAGGCGGGCAGCCTGATTCTCTCCCCTTGCAGACGGCCAGTGTTCCCAGGGCTTTGCAAGAGAAGGCTGGGGGAGCTGCTTCTGTTTGTATAAAAATGAGCTGACAAGCCAGAAGACCCTGGGCACATTATGGTCCCGAGGCTGGCACCAGTTCCTGGGGTTGTGGGTGCCCTGCATATTGCCAGCCACCCCTGGGCTTCTCTTCTTTGAGGCACTTGGCAGATCCGTTGACCTGGCAAAACTGCTCTTCATGCCTGAGGAAGACACACAACTCCATTCCCCAGTGCCCACTGCAGGGCAGAAGGGCATGATCAGAGGATCGTGTGCCACGGCCAAGGGTGGGCTTGAGTGCATTGGCAAGCGATGCTAGCGGTGGGAGAAACAAGGCTGGGTCCGGTTTGCCGAAGGATGGGGGAGGGTGCCTCTAAGAAGGGTTATTTCATAACTCTCTCTTTTCCCTCCCCCCCCTCCTCCTTCTCCTCCTCCTCCTCCTCCTCCTCCTCCTCTTCCTCTTCCTCCTCCTTCTCCTGCTCAGGAAATGCAATCCAGGCCTTTGGCAATGGCACTGACCTGACCTCCTCCTCCAAGGCCCTTCCGCAGCCGCTCCTCACCATGCCTCCCTCCGTAGGAAGGACTTCGTCTTTGCCATACAGTGTCAATGACAGCAGCCCTGTTGATAACACAAGCGTGAGCATCACCTGCATCTCCACCGAGGTAAGGCGCTGGGATTTCCCCCTGATGTTGGATAGGCAATCATCCATGGGAGGCAGGGGGATTTTCACGCAGAACAATCTGGGTTTGTAAGGCCAATTTCCATGGCCTGGACATAAGCCTCATTCTGGGTATCCACGATGAATTCATGGTGAAGATCTTGCTCAGAAGCAGAGGAAGAATGAGAGGTTTTGTTCCTTTTGTGTGAGCCGGAAGGAGAACAACGCATGCCTACACACACACATGATGCCATAGGAGCAGAAGGGGGAGGATGAGTGAGGTCTCCTTCACTGACTCTGTTACTATTTAAACAAACAAGTAAATGTAGGTCTTCTTCTTTTGTGGAAGAGGCAGATATGGTGGGGGCCGAGGGCCAAATTATGTTCGGGGGACGCAGGTCCACTGTTTAAGAGCGATCGCGCGTTCCGACCCTCATCACCCTTCTCACACCCCTGGTTGCTCGGAGGACCCTGGTCTCCGGCTAGTGTCGCTTAATGCCAGGTCCTTGGTACATAAGGCTCCCACATTTACGACCTCATACAAGAGGCTGGAGCGGACCTGGCGTGCATTACAGAGAGCTGGTTGGGCCATGAGGGAGGTGTTCCCCTTAGTGAATTATGCCCACCAGGCTTCCGGGCATTTCACCAGCCGAGAGCCCAGGGTAGGGGTGGGAGGGTGGCGGTGGTTATTAGGGAAAGTCTCAGACTTCAGGAGGTCACTGTGCCTCAGATAGGTGGGTGTGAAATGGAGCCTTGGAGTTCAGGTGGGCCTTTTTGTTACGTACCTGTCTCCCTGCTATGTTTCATTGGCCTTGCTGAGGCTGCTGGATGTGTTAGCTGGATTGGCGGTTGATTTCCCCAGGCTTATGATCCTGGGGGATTTCAATCTGCCTTCCATTGACGAGACATCTGAGTCAGTTCGGAAGTTCATGGCTTCCATAACGGCTATGGACCTAACTCAATTAATTCAAGACCCCACCCATAATGGGGGACGCACGCTCGACCTGATTTTTGCCTCTGGGCAGTGGATGAAT